ACTCCTGCTGGCCACAGTATTTCTGATACAGGCCAGGATGCCATTGGCCTTCTTGGCCACCTGGGCACACTGCCGGCTCATGTTCAGCCGGCTGTCAACCAGCACCCCCAGGTCCTTTTCCGCCAGGCAGCTTTCCAGCCACTCTTCCCCAAGCCTGTAGCGCTGCATGGGGTTGTTGTGGCCGAAGGGCAGGACCCGGCACTTGGCCTTGTTGAATCTCATACAGTTGGCCTCGGCCCATTGGTCCAGCCTGTCCAGGTCCCTCTAAAGGTACTCTGTTTCCCTTCTCTACATTCCTGGATCTTGTATTGTTCCTTTGTTAAATGCATGTAGAGATATCAGCTTTTCTAGAAACCATCAAATGTACCATCACATCAGAGCAGAAGGCTCAGCATCCCTCCTGGAAACTGGTCAGTGCTAGATGCCTCGAAGGAAGAATCAACCTGAAGTAAGAGAATTGGCCCGTACAGTTAGGAGCTGACCTGCACATAGTGGACATTTCTTAACTCACCTCAGTTAGAGGCTGAATTTCCTGAAACTTCAGAGTTCGTATCGTTACTTCAGTCACTGCTGCACATCTGGAGAGTCAGGAGTCAAGAAGTGAGACTTGACAGAGCTGGGAGCTCAGAGGTGCCTGCTATATAGCATTTTAAAACTCCTATCATGCTTTCACCACCTAAAAGGCAAAGATGACTGAACCTAGATTTACGCCTGTTGCCCTTTGAGATTCACAGCATTCCCCTTGCAGTTGTCCTCATGTGGTAAGGAGAAGGCAGATGAGAAAGTGCCACCATTTAAACTAACTGTTGCTGTTACATGAGACAAGAAGGCACAGAACACTGACAAAACCCAAGCTCAGTCATCATTAGTTGTTTGAACTGGCATGCATATTTTAAATGAATGAACAAGTTGAAACCAGCTTGATTACAAAACATCAAGAATAAAATAAAGTTTTATTAGTATTTATCATGCTAGCCATGATTTCTGTGCCTTGCCAGGTGAAGCGATGAAGCAGCTAGTTCTATTCAGTCAGCAAAGGCTATTCTGTGAAAAAATTCAGGATTTGAGTGCGATTCTGATAGGAATTTTCACTCTGAAGAAACAGCATATAGTTCAAAGTGAATAACACATGCTCCACGTCCCTCTGGCTTGCAGCAAACAAACCCTCCTTCCCTGCCTGCAATACTTGAACTAAGCAAATGGGAGTCCCACCGAGCATGGTGAGCTGGGGAGCAGAAGAGCTGGCTCCGCATGCAGGGGCTTCTTTCATTGCTGGAGACAGACACTGGCAGTAAAGAAAAAGTCCTTCTGGTCAATTCGCAACAGGACCGCAGTGCCCTCATTGCTAATAACCGCGGTTATAAACACACACACCCCCTTCCCTCCCTTCTTCATGTTTTTATTTGTAGTGGGTGCTGTTTAGTAAACCTTACCAAGCTCCCACCCCTGTACTCATGGAAAAAATGTATTAACCAAGGATGCAATGGTATTTTGAATCAAAGTGCTTGCAAAGAGGACTTGGAAAACTGGATTTCCCCAAGAAGGTTTGCTTTGGGTTTTTTTGCTGGATCTTGGCTGTTCTAGTTGGTAAAACCTGCTGTTCGCTAGAAATGTTAATAAATCTGTGTTGGGTTTTTTTTTTTTTTTTTTTTAAATGAACACAGCACTATGTCTTGTAGCCATCAGTGTCTCCGCAAGGGAAAAACAAAACTAGCAAAATACTGCAGAGAATCCCTAACCATGGATCCACTCATTTAAAAAATGTAGTTCGTTCACAGGAGAACTGCTGTTTATGATCTTACTTGTTGCTTTTTCTGAAGTACATACCACTAATGTCTTCTACAAAGTATTTTACTCTTCCATACAGATTCAGGTAGAGCTTCAGATGAAGCAAATGAGAGGATCATGCTTTTTCGATAAAATGTGAGCTCCTCATTTCCCCTCATCTACTGGAAGTGTAGCGCAATCTACCTGGCCCAGCAAGCTTTGGGCATGTTATCAGGGCTTAATGAAACACTCACCAGGTTTGGGGGGAATATAATTATTCCTTCACAATTTACTCCAAGTAACCCAATTACAAGCGGTCTCCAATTCTCACTTTACAAAGAAAGATCGTAGGGGCTGTGGCTCCACCATCTCTGTGCCAGTCCTGTCCGCAGCCCTACAGCAGTCCTGAGTCAGCACGTTTCCTGGCACCCCGCAGGTCACCACATAACCTCAAATTAAGACGATTCCTCCCTTTTCAACCCAAGTTTTTTAGTGGCACAGCCGCTCATGGGATATTCGCCTATATGCTCACTAAGTCAGGCAAACGTTGCGCATTTGCTTTTTGTCTGTCTTTTTAAACTTGTACCCGTTAAAGACTTGAAGAATTATGTTTGTAGAAGTATAAGGTTCAGAAAAATAATTTGTGTGGGGAAAGAAAAATACATGATTAAACAATATAACAAGGAGGCTTTCAACTGTTTAATGATGCTAATAATAATAAATACATTTATTTTAATGTTGTGGCATCTCCTTCCTTATGTGGCAAGACTCAGGTATGAAACAACACCATGCTGGGCTAGGAGCAGTGCAAATTTGGACAATTAGGACATGACTAGATGGTTGAGCATGGATGATTGTGTATCTTCCTACGTGAACTCTAAATCGGAAGGACAAGTGATCAGCTGGGCCTGACAGTGAACACATAGCCTGTAACATGGCCACTGCTTCCAACAAAGTTACAACCTGCAGGGAGTTTTGCTGAGGAAATACAAAATTTGTTTTTAACAAAAGTTGGCCACTTTATTGCCTGCTTCTACTATAGAACTGCTATTTATTGTTGTGATTTTGTGGGTTACTACTTTAGGGGAACAACAAATATTGTATGAAGTTTTGCATGTATGTTCAGAAGCAACCGCCACCTCAAATTTCTGCATAAATTCACCTGCAAACTCCACATCCTAACAGTACAATATCATCAGCATTATCTTCAGGCTAGGGAGGACAAGACTTCCAGAAGTGCTCATTCAGCAGGGAACAGGGGGTTTGTTTGGAGGTTCATCACCTCAGACCCCGTGAAATTCCCATGAGCCTACAAAGGCTCGAAGGTCTTACTCCAGAAGTAAGTTTCAAAGTGAGCAGCTTACCAGAAAAAGAAAACACTAAAGATTTGCATGATTTGTCCTTGGAAAGCTTTATTGAACAAACTGGGTTGAGGCCCAAGACCTCAACTGGGGTTGAGAGATGTTTTGTAGCAACAGTATGAGGGCTATAACTATAGGGTTAAAATAAAATATAAAACCCAAAGCGGAACACAGATAAAACGGGTGTGGTAAACCATGACAGTCCCATACCATTTACCTGCGATGTCATCTTCATTATGGGTAACAACATATTTTGTATCTCCAGCGCTAAGGACTGCTATCTTTGGCTCCGGACCTGTCCTCCGTGGCTTTAGTTTCAGGCCTGAAGACTCTGTCATCTTGCCTTACAGTGGCAAAGCTTCTGCTGGCTGGATGTGCAAACCTGCCACGGGGGACGTTTTTTACCGATTAAGTAAGAAACCGCTTGATATAAACAAGGGCTTTCCAAAGGGGTTCCCACTTGAAGAGCCATATGTTCTTATTTGAATGACTATAATGAGCTTAATTTTACCCTTAATCTCACCTTTCATTTAATCTTACCCTTAATCTCACCTTTCATATACACAACATATATACATGTAACAGAAAATTACATCTCTCCATATATACAGGCACAAAGTGTACATGCACTACTGTGCTTACTTTCCCGAGGCTGGCTAACCCAGCGCCGGCAGGCAGCCTCCTCTGGGGTACCATGCAGCAGCAACCTGGTGTGGCGCTTTCGCTTACGGGCAGGCGGAGGGTTTTGGCCAGAAACACATCACTGCTGTTGCTTGTTACGACGTGGTTCTCAAAAAAGTAAGGTGAATCTCATCGGGCAACCTGGAACCCAGCAGGTTGCTCACGTTAAGCATCTCCTCACTCAGCACAGGTTTCTTGTTTCCTGCAGAACTGAAATGACAGCCCCCCCCCCCCCCCCCAGCCCCTCATACTGCCCTGGAGCATCAGCTGCTTCAGGCTTGGGGGCAGGAGTTGTGCTTAAGCATTTTTCTAGACAGAAAATGAGAACAATATTTCTATCAGTACAGCTCTCCACTTCTAACAACAAGAGGTTTTGCATTTTAAAAGAAAATACTTCACTGGTCAAGGCAGCAAGATGATGATTGTTTTTATGGGATGTGTTCTTCTGACAGTAATATGCAATTGCCCTTGATAAACTATACTCTTTTTCCTGTTGCGTCTACGTGACTCTCTTGAAACTGGGTTACTTAGTGTAATTAAAAGAAGAACTGGCTTTAAATTAGAAATTTCTAAGGGAAGAAGTTATGAGGGTAAGGAAAAGGCCGGCTGATTCTATTTTATTTGTTCAGTCAGTAGAAATGAAAGCACTTGCTTGAAGAGTTTACATGATAATCCTGGTGTCCAGTCACTTGTCCTTTACACAGTATTTTAAAATGCAGGACTGAACAGGAGTGATAATTGAGCATGTAATTGCTGTTGCTTATTTGTTTGCTCGCTCATTGCCAGTATCTGTACTTTATGTCTTGTGGATGACAACATTTGACTCATGTACATATTTTACATCTTAAATGTTTTATTTCCTGTAATAAATATGGCACATCCACACATAATTTTGAGTAACGTTGTCAGAGAACACAAGAATTATTATTATTATTATTACAGCTTAATTATTAATACAGCAAGAACTGCAGTGACTTAGATGGGTGGCTTTAAAAACATACACCCATCAGTCAAGCATATTCAAGATAATGGCCAAATTTTCCAAACCCGAGGCACCTGGAGAAAAATGTTAGGTATGAATATGAGAGCAAGATCTTAAAAGAGAGAGGGGGGAGAACAAGGAAAAAGTTTTACTTCCTCCTCATTCTTAGCCCAGACCATCATTCTCTCTCTTCTTTTCCTAGGGAGTGGCAGAATTGCAATAAATTAATAAAGCATTTACCCAACTGCTTCTTTTGAGTCGTTCCTTTTTTCTTTTTTTTTTTCCCTCAGATCTCCAGCGTCTTTCTCTGAGCTTGCTCTGAGCATGCTGATGCATCTATGCATCATTCTGCCCTGCCCTCAGTTTCGCTCATGCTTTCACCCAGGCGTTCCTTTACTAAAGGGTTTGAGGGATGTTCATTCCAGGGCGAGCAGGAGAAGAAGAAACACGGAACAGTGTATGTAGAGCCTGAACAGAGCCTTTGCTCCTGCAAGTGGTAACGCCAAGAGCAGGGGGTGGATGAACGGTGGAGCAGCATGCTGCTTGCTGTTCTCAGCACGCATCTAGGATGCTGCTTGTCAGTGAGGGGATCTGTCAGATTCACATGGGGATGGCATTCGGCATTGCCATATGTGTCGCCGTGTATGTGTGAAAAAGATAATGCAAAGTGGCAAAGGATTCAGAACTGCTTATCCCGAGGGGGAATGACATTTACAGGCAATTCCTCTTCAACATGGAGAACTGAACTTTTAAAAAATAATCATCTTTTTCATTACAAGAAAAAATAACAGTTGTCCCTTGCTGGCATTGTTTCTTAGCTAGAAATCAGATTCTACGTTTTACTTGTTTCTACAAATTAGAAACAAATTCCATGCTGCACAAAGCCTCCAAGCACATTACTGAACCTGTCAAGTACGTCCCGTGGGTGCACGGAGGCTCTCAGCAGTGCGTGAGTGGGTAAAACATGTTCCGAAAAGTCCCTCTGGGTCAAGGCTCTTTCTGAATTATTTGTTCTTTTCTCTTCAGGTTCATATGCTTTGCTCTTCCTCTTTATTCTTCATCTTCAGAACCTGAACAGTCATCTTTCTTTTTGAAGCAGACCACACCTTTTTACTACATTGACATTTCTTAACATGTGCTTACTGAATTATCATAATTTAAGCAACCCGAAGTACTGATGTCACCCTAGATAAATATACCTACTGTATTTTTGATGGATAGGTTGATGTTACCTGTAATTGCCATTTGGTGGAACAGTGTTAATGTCTCTCCATCTAGACTGGATGTTTGTATCAGTCGTGTTAGAAGCACAAATACACACATTTCATTCTGAGCGTCTCTCCTGCCAGTACTGAGACTATATTACTAACTTAATTTTAAATGTTTTTTTTTTGTTGCTGTTGTTTTTTTTCCCTGTTCTGATTTCTTGCTTTTATGGGCATCTATAGAGTTTCAAGGAGCCATTTGCTCTTATAAAACTGTACACTATTTGGCTGAGATTTCGTACTATCTTTCTTTTCCAAGTAAATCTGATAAAATCAGAGCATTTTACTGCAACTATGACAAATTATGCTCAGAAATATTCTCCAAGGGAAAAAATGCAAATATAAGACTGACGTTATCTGAAAAACAACTGCCACCTTTATAATTTACAGGAAACTCATAATTATCCCAGAAATCAGTTGTGTGTTGTCAATGGCACGGGAGGTGTTCATGCTGTTGTAGGTTTGACGAACTAGAGTATCTGCTCTGTACAGCTACTACATGTGCTTAAGTTTACACTGGAATTAAGACATGTAGTATTTTTATAAGGAGATCTAATAATGCAAGCCAAAAGAAGCACATGATTTTCACTTTCAGAGATGACGCCACATGTGAAGTAAAAGGTGGGAGTAAAGTCTTACCAAGAACGATAAAAGGTAATGGCAATGGACACAATGGTGCAATTTGTGTTGGTATAGGAACAACATACACGGTATTGTAGTTTCTTTGTGAAAGAGAAAATATGTCTGAAAAGGCATTTTTCATGCAGATGTAATCAGCAACATAGTTAAAACAGAAGGTCTGTAGAAGTATTTTTAGGAAGCTGTGTAAAAAGGGGAAGCATACCAAATTAAATGAAAAAGAGGCATTCTCTTCTCAAATATGCAGAAGTAAACTAAACACTTACCAAATTAAATTAACACTATTAAAATAAAGTAACTTGATAACTATCACTGATAGTTAAACCTGCAGATTTTAGTAAGTCATGTGTATCAGGTTACAGTGAAATGTGACACTTTACGTAGCTCTGACAGAATTTTCTGTTCTCAGCCAGATTGGCCTTTTAATTTCATCTGGTACTGGTGGCTGAAGTTTTGGAAGGTACAGGACTTCTCACACAAGAAAATCAGTAATCACAGGTTCCAGATGAGAGAGAGGAAAACAGAAAAGATGGAATACAGTAGTCACTTGCAGCAGCCTACCGCCAGCGAGAAGATACATCTTCTGACTGCACCACAGCAAAGGATTCTCGGAGAGTCTGCCAGAATTGAGCTTCAGTTGGCGTTTTACACTTTGCTGTGCCCTCTGTTAGAAAAACAATGCTCACAGTTTCACTGCCAGGCGCATTCAGCACATGGACTTCATACAGGGTGTCTCTCCTGTTGCCCTCTCCAAAGCTTCAGCTCTCTTTCTCACTGGAATATAGCCTCTATTTCGATCACAGTGTTCAGTACAATAATACACTTGATTTAAGATTGATGAAAAATCACCCAGGCAGAAAGTACCCTTTTAGCCAACAAGGTGTAACTGATACATGGATCATTTCTATTCAAAGGAGAACTAAAAAGTACAGATCAGGTTTATTCTTCAGGATAATCCTGTGTATTTATAAAGAATGTACATAGAAGCTGCTTTTGTTGAAAACAGTAAAAAGCTACAGGAACAGGAAGGTTTTTTGCCAAGTTCTCAAGACAGCCTTCCACACAGCCCTGTGCCTCAGCAGATGCATTTGCCACCAGTTACCCAGGAAAGCCTCAACCTTCTGGGCCCTGCAAGCAGCTTGCGCTCGTGAGCATTGATCTCCATTGTCTCTGGCAACCTTAATCCAAACCTGATCTTACCTCCTCCTTCTATTCAGCCTGAAAGAATAACAACTAACATGCCGGTCAGTTTTACTGCCTGTACACAGAAGGCATGATTGACAGGAGCCAGCATCGCTTTCCAGCAAGACAGTATTTTTATAGTAACTTGCTGAAACCGCTTTTGTGCTAATAAAACTGGGAATTTAAAGAAAAGATACTCCTGAAGATTGTGTCTGCATTGATTTTTTACCTTGTCCCATTTCCTTTATTTACATCTGATAAAATAAAAAGGTTTACTTTATTTACATCTGGAGAAAATGAGAACAATCCATTTTGTATGTGAATGTAATGGTGCTCAAGGAATGAGGCTTCTTGCTTCAAGAAATTTGATCTTTGTTCTCCTGGACGCACTCTCTGTTCCTCCCTCTATTCTTTCACACACAGCAAAGCATTAATAGTATCCGACAGAGAAAAAGGAAATTGCACTATGATGCCTTTTCACAAGCACTGTTTTTCTTGCCACTAAATGATCACTAGAGAGACGTTACGCTCCAGTACTTTGGATTGGTTTGCGAGGATTGCTTTTAATTAAGGAATGATACGCAGTTATACAAGGCTAGTTAAGCATATGAAACACTACCAGACCCCTACAAACAAGGAACTCGACAGAAGAACGTTTTTCCTGTGCCTTTTTCATCGTCTGCTCTCACATCTCTGTTTTAAAGCATTTTGTTACGGACTGGTTTTTTGCAAACATTTAGATACTCATGTAACTCGGTTCACATGGATAGGGCCACTGAAGCTGGAACAAAGCCGGTGCTTGTGATGTTTATCAGCTGTCTGTTAGAGGCTTTGGCCTCCTGCTCACAGGGAGATGCTTGGTAGATACATTTGCTGCAGTTGAAAGCCTTATTACGACATTTAAAAGCAAATTCATATGCGTGTACAAATCTTGCATGGGTTTCCATCTCGCCCGACGGTTTATTTCCAGATATGGCAAAGCTGTTTGTTACCCTCGGGCCTGGCGCCTCACCCCCCTCAGCGGTCTGTCTCATCGCTCCCCCTCATTACGTGTTTTAGGGACAGGCGGGTATTTTTAGAAGCTGCGCGGGGACAGACCTGAGGAGGAGCTCCCTCCCGCCCCACGGCCGACCTCTGCAAGCAGCTGCCTTCGCCCCAGCCGCCGCTCCGGCT